GAGGCACCGCCCATAGATGTTGATGTTATGTAACGTCCTTCACAGAGACGTCTGAGCTGTCACAGAGACTTTGATTTCCACTGCTAAGCCCTGTGCCAAGTCTGAATCACCTCCCTGTCTGTTGTTGTTTACTGCTCATTTCTAGCTATGTTCATGGAGTTAGGCTGATTGGAAATCACAGATGTGCTCAGTTTAGTTTCAGTGATCACAGGTGTGTTTCATTTTGTTGGTTTTAGTTTCAGAAGTATTTGTTTGTTATTCTTCATGTGAGGAAATACTGTACTGTTCAACTCACAAATAATGCAGTGATTTTAAATCATTTCACATTTGAATATACAGTATGGCACAGGGGTATGTACAAGTAAACATCACGCTGCAGTGCTGCTCACCAATTAAAATGTTAAAACAAGGATAAATACACATAAGCAGATACAATATGGGAGGTTTAGTCCTGCAACGCTGGAGAATTTAGTGCACAACAAAGTCAAATGAAGGCGCTGCAATAGGTAGAGAAGGCAAACCTCCCTGAGCCTTCACCCTGATCAAGTTGTCAGTTTGAGAGTTTGTGTCTAAAGTATTACCAGGGATCTGCAACTGTGCTGTCAGTCAGTCATAAACAAAGCAGGGCATTCCTCAGGCATGTCCCAACAGCAGGAACACTGGGTGTGGTGGCTTCCCCAGAAGTGCCAATATTGCTTGTATGCCAAGGAAATCTGTTCAGACGGTTTTCTGTTGGGGAGTGGAGGAGGTGTGTGTCAGACTGCCGTCTGGTGTCTTGGTGTTTTCCTTCCAAATGACATAACGGCTGTTGTAGAATTAACGCTGTGACTCTTATGGACTTAAAAACCACACTTTGTTTTTGTTTTTTTTATTGCAATAGAGAGAAAGGCAGAATCTGTGCAGAGTCTTTGTCCTATTTATAGCATGACAGTCAACACAAAGCTTTCCATTGGCTCGCTTATATATAGTTTTGTAAGTTTAACCTATCGTAAGCTTTCATTACCATGTACGCTGACTTCTACTTTCATTTGACAAAAAGCTCAACAGAGATTAAAAAGACATCCCCTTAAATGGGCCTGGACCTTTTCCCTCTGACCCCCTTCCTCGTAGGGGCCTCGGGTCTCTATTTTTGATCCTAGTCGTAGAACAGACACGTGATAACGCAGTAGTCAGCTCTATTCCAACCCACAAACAAGTTTTGTTTCTCTGGAAATGAGTAATTATGTACATGGCTGATTAGGAATTAACAAATTATATTCATCCTTTTTTTTTTTCACAACTTATCTGGGGTCGGGTCTCTGTGGCAACAGGCTGAACGAGGCATTCCAGACATCCCTCTCCACAGCACTGTTTTCAGTTCCTCCTGGGGGATCTGGAGTTGTTCCCATGCCAGATGAGATATGTAATCTCTCCAGTGAGTTCTGGGTTTACCCCTTCCGCTTCCCCAGAACAAACCTCCAAAGGGAGACACCCAGGAGATGTCCTAGATGCCTGAATCACCTCAGCTGAC